CATATATTTGCCTTAAAATCTATTTTTTGTAGATTATTGTTAGCTAGTTATTTTTGAGGTGGGCGCGAGACTTGATGGATTCTAAAAAGGGGCATGGCTTGTAATGTTTGAGAACTACTGCTCTAGGTGCTCCAGAAGTATGCGCCCCAAAATGTCGCACAACCTGAATTCTGACCTGTACACACATGCTATGTTCGGGTTGTGCGCCATCTTGATGCGCATACTTATGGAGGTCCATAGAATATGTTCCAAATGACCCGAGTTCTTCGTTTGGTCACCCTGCATTATTTTCTGTGTACCCTTAGGGGCCTATAAACCCTGGTTGGGGAACACTAACCCATCAGAACAAAATTTTGAAGCGTAAATTATATTTATAACGTCATTTTTATTGTTTCAGTTGGCAGTTTGGGGCTACACGTATACGCCTCATATCCAATTCGATTTTGAGTCGTGCGTCACCGTAGAACACGCTCTGACGGCGATTAGTAGGATTCGTCCTATGGGGAAAACCGGAGTACATGTTGCAAAAATGTTTGAATTTGCAGCGAATAACGTTTTCACTTCAAACCTTGGATCTAGAGTTACAGACCCAACTGTAAAAAAGGTGTGTTGATTTATATTAGGTTTTTCTATTTTGCTATGTGTTCGCTCTGAACAAGGCTCTTGTCAGACAGAAGGCATGAATTACTTCAAGCCCAGGGCGAAGCTAAGGACACCGCAACATATACGTACGTGATGGGCCTCGCACTTCCATAGTCTGATTTTAGGTGCGAGTTATCAAATGAAATTATATTCATGTAAAAGTCACCGTTTTTATTCTGTAAACGCAATACTAATAATAGTCGTGATTTTGTACTCAATCCCTATCTCTTCCAACACTTACTATACCGCATCAGCTAATGTAAGCCATCCCCAGACCTTTAGCAAAGTTATTTTTTCGATAGGTGGATGTCCAGAATATAAAATCTTAAATTGGGTTTACCGAGTGTCACCGCTTCTGCATATGACAATATATCCACCCCTATTTCTTCTATCTGCTGTTTATAATGGTTCCATTACATTTGAACCCACGTACATTTGAACCCATGACAATTGCACCTGTATGCTATTGCACCTATGGAATTTTTTTTGTTTCACGGATAGTTAAACCCATACTAACCCTAACCCATGGGTTTTAGCACCCGCATATAGATTGAACCCGTGGATATACGCATGGGTTCAAATGTACATGGGTTCAAATGTACGGTCACCGTTTATAATAAATGATAACCAAATAATCCTGTCCAGAGCAAACCATTCAAATGACAACTGGGATATATAACAATTATAATTTAAACTTAATTTGCACTAGGTGGCAATTTTGATAGTGGACTCGGAGTTGGTCCCTCATACGGTAACACCAGCAACGATAAAAGCGCACCTGCAGTCAAGGAAAATTGAGACTTACGCAATAGCTATAGAAGATGGGGGAATTAAAGCTGCTGCACTCACTCCCTATATGCCCACACCGCACTCAACACCGCTCCAAGTGGCGACAAAAATGGCGTTGGCGACGTTTACTGGAGTTCGGGAAAAGTAAGTTGTTACTAGTATGTTGATAGGTATTTATTTGTCTGTATGTCTGTTAAATGAACGCGATATCTCAAGAAGGCAAGGTTGAATCTGCTCCAGATTTTGCATATGCATTCATCATATCTTGGACCAGAATCCTATTGATTTTGGATGAATTTCGTCAAAAATAAATGTACATGAAGCAGATTCAACCTCGCTTTCGTGAGATATAAGCGTCACCTAGTTGTGCTCCGTGTTCTTTTACAAACGCTTGCGAGCTGGGCTTCTGAAGTTATGATAGAAATGGAATTGTTTTGTGTCTGTTGTTCCGTTCGAAACTGGGGGTAACTGGAAAAAGTCCGAACTTTCAATTATTTTCGCAATCCTTTAGTAGCGGTGGCTTAGCAATATAGAGCAGGGTGGGCCAAGGTTGTAGGCCCCGCGGGCCACAAAATTATTTTTGCATTATTCGCGGGCGCAATAGTGCCAAGAATAGGTTAACAGTGCAATACAAAACAAACACTTTTATTGTGCAAACACATAGTTATCAGACATAGCCATCCCAGGCTAATAGAATCCGCATTCGATTTTTAGTTTTCTGTGATGCCTATATTGTAAGCATATATTCCCGACCAAATTGTTAGAAAACCAGATAATAATTTAGACTGCCAATCACATCATTCAACTTCGCTAGTTGCCTCAGCTATTTAGTGACATTAGTGATGTAACAATATGTCAAAAGACTTTTCTGATTAGTTTTATTACGAAACAACACAAAATGCGATTTTTTGATTACTCTCCGAATGTGACGCGGGTCACAGATAATGAAGCGGCGGGCCACATGTGGCCCGCGGGCCTGGGTTTGGACCACCCTGATAAAGTGTAATAAAGTATTTGTGTTACATATTTGTTGTAATTTCAATAAAAATCGACGAACTAGGTTAAACGTTCCGATTCGAACCGACCAGGCACTGCATGCACCTTATACCACTCCTAAGCTTCGACGATAAAAAAAAAGTCCGGCTCCGTTTTCTTGACAAACCGGAAATTGTGGAAGTAATTTTGACAGCAATAATTGGAGCGATTATTATTTCCTTCACAGAAATAATTTCTCTCTAATTCATGTTTACGCAAGCAAGACCCATCCCTAACTTTAGCCTTCGATTTGATATTATTTACGCGTGGCCGTGCAGAATCTTTATTTGGATGTGGAACATTAGCACCATGCTGCGATTATAATTTTTTTCAAATCTGTGTTCCCCTTGTGTTTATAATTTTAAGGAAAATATGGCTTTTTTTGGTACTTCCGAAGTATGTGAACCAAGATGGCAGACACCGGAACGTAGTATGTGTACAGGTTAGAGTTAGGCCATAATTTTAATCCATTTTTCCTATTTTAGTTCTATTACGAGTTCGGGAACGAGCCGAATGACTCCCGTAGTATTTGTACCTGAAATTATGGTCTAACCGTAACCTGGTACACATACTACGTTCTGGTGTCTGCCATCTTGGTTCACATACTTCGGGAGTACCTTTTTTTATATATATAACTTAATAATAACTGTTTATTCCTGTATGGTTTCGTTTCGAACATAAAATTTCAGGTTTAATTTATTCGCATGGGATCACTGACTTTTGGCGTATTTGCATTGCATGCGAAGAATGGTCGTAAGGGATTTGGCCTGGTTAGGAAATCTTTCGTTTTCGATTAAAATTGATCGATTAGGGAATTCCGTTTAAATACCAATTATTTTAAGGAAAATTTCATTCTATAGTTCGTGTGGACAATCTCACGTATTTCTGGCACGGTGCTTGGGAAACGATATTAGGAAAGTCTGGATTGATAACTAGCATTGCTTATCGAGAGATTGTTCTGGGTAGACACGTCTAGCTATTTTGTGTTAATAGTATGCGAATGTTTTGTTTTTTATGTGGCTTGATAACAGTATTATATAAAGTACGTTTTAATTATTTTAAAGGTGTAATAAATTCGAATCTAACTTGGCGCAAGACTTGATTTGCCTTGCCGCATTGCTTGAAAGCTTGAGTAGTTGTATATAGCCTTATGAAAAGTAGTAACTTTTTTAAAGCCGAACGAGTTAAAATTAACTTTCCATTCAATCCTGAGTTTCCAGACCTCAAGAGAAAGTGATAATTTATTCTGAAGAAATTATCTAACTTATACCTTGATGTGTTTTTCGCAAATGTGTGTGTAATATGTGCAAGTGGCAGCATCGCGTTTTTCCGGCGCTATGGATTTGAGAGGCTATTAACTGACGTTTATGCTGTCGACATTCACGAAACGCGGTAATCGTATTTTCAAAAATATTCGTCATTGAGCTGATGTTAATTAAGTGGCTAATCAAACAATATCTTTCGAAAGGGAATTTTCCAGCGAACTTGAGGAGGCCACTGAAATACTTATTGATAGATTTAAATCTTTTACTGTGGATTTCCCTGGAACATCGGTAATCGAATTTTTTTTAAGTTTCTGAGCACTATCATGACGCGATGATGGTCTAATAACCCCCCCTCAATTGAAACAAAAAGGAAGGGTAAATGCTTTGGCAGATTAGATACTTCTATGCTATCACAATACACAGGAGGACCCAAATAACTGTGGATAACTGTTGTCCTACTTTTGGCCTGCCCTGTATTTTCTAGGGAAATATTTACGAAAGACTCGGTACCGTAATAAACTCATCATACCATAGTTTATAACTATAAATGTTCTTTCCAGTTTAAAACTTCGTCATGGTTGCAGTAAATGCTTTCCTAATCCATGTAAGAATAGTGCTCCATGCAAAGAAAAAGCGACTTCGCCGTTCTATAAATGCGAATGCATCGCAGGATGGGTTGGAACGAATTGTTTAACACAAGGTAGGCGAATAAAGCTGTCATATTTTTATACGTTTTCCATGCTATTTCTCTTAATACAAACAATCAGTCGCAGTTATGTTTTGGAAATGCCGTAATTTGGTCATTTTTCAATCCCGTGTAGTATTTTTTGAGCTATTGCAATAATTTACTATACCAACTTCGGAAATCTAATTTATTCAATTTATATATGTACCCTTTTTTAAATCTATAATATTTGACTCTGTGTATCAGGTATTTACATATTATAATGCAGACATCTGGAGAAGCAGCCATAGAAGTAAAATTTGATGTTTTGATGACAGCTAAATATGCCCTCTACGAAGGAAACCGTTTAAATGGCGTCTGGGACCCTCTATTCATCCCTATTCGTAACTATCTAAGATATTATATATATACATGTGTCATTGAAGGAATAAATTCCTTCAAAAACCTAAAATGCTTTTGCGTATCAGTGTATAGTTAGGAGGGGAAATCCCCCATAAAATATGTGACACTTGAGTATTGGCGGTGAATGTTTGCCAATGAATTTTTCTTTTTTTAGATCCATGCCAGCTCTGTCGTAGCAACAGGGGAACTTGCATTCCAAGTGGTTCCAAGAATGTTTTGCAAAGACTGTCCTCCCGATAAAATTGGTGAATACTGCCACCTACCGAACCCTTGTCATCCGGCCCCAGGACCATGTAAGAATAGAGCAACATGCAAACCGAATGTTCAAACCTTGAATGCCTATGATTGCGTCTGCGTGGGGGAATTCACTGGTAAAAATTGCGACAAGACAAGTAAGTGTTCAACTACTATAAAATAATGGCGATAGAGGGATTCAAGTGTTTTATCGTGATAATTAGCGAGCGTTCTTAGGATAGGATTGACATATTTATCCCGGGGGAGAGGAAAACCGATCAGACTGCTTAATAATATGGCGAACCACGGCCTCTCGTCCGGTTACCAGTCCAGGTCGAGTATGGGATTAGTTAGCCAGTTATTTGTTTTCGGAAGCATGGACTTGATGGTGGAGGAAGCCGTAACCGACCAGCGGTTACGTGAACCACCCTGCGGCGGCGAGGAGTCCAGCAATCCTCTCGCACATGATCATCCCCGCATGGAATTCGAACCTGCAATCCCACGAAGGGTAATCAGAGATGCGGTGGCGAGCGTTCTTGCATTAGGCTTTAGACCAGTGGTTCCAAACCTTTTTTTCAAGCGACTCAGATTAAAAAAAATTTTTTTTTGTAAAATCGCGTGACTCGGGGAAAAGCTTGAATATTAAATAGCATGTAATATACTTCTGGTCACAAATCAAACGATGTTAAGTTTTTACGCCGTGATACTTGTCATATATATATACAATTACTATTAAATCCACTCTTCAATAAAATCAGTAACTTTCAGGTTTTTGTTGAAAAAACAAGCGACCCAAAATATTTTTCAGTCGAGTAGGTTTGGAAACACTGTCTTAGTTAGACCAAGGTCCGAAGTTAGACGACCAAGTTAGACCGAATCCGGACCTTTCGATCATTCAATTTGGACCGTCTGCTTATTTATTTTGGCAGCCTCGTTTTATAGTTTTAGATGATTTTTGATACCATTTAAATACACAACTACACAGTTTGTCGTACTGGTACCGATGGCGACATTTGTATTCATATTTGTGAGGTATTCATTCCTCTTGTATTTAATTTAATATTGCATTTGAAGTTTCGTTTATTTAATGAAATAAATTTTCTGTAATGTACGGACCCCAGTAAGTTTTCTAAATAGACCTTTAGTGAAAATAGTTGAGTAGCCCTGAGTTAGACGACCGCAACAAATGCGCAATGTATCAGATCAATGTAGTGGTGGTATTCAAATTTTTTGTCAACCGGTTCCTTCACGAAAGTCATATTCTTCAGCCGGTTTTGTTACAAACAGAACTTTGACAGTAACCATGCTAACCGGTTCGCTGATCTCCTAAAATTCCGTGAGACGGTTCCTTTAGAACCGGTGGGAACCGGCTGAATCCAACCACTGAATGAAGCCTAAATCGTACCACGTTGATGCGGCCTACGTAGTGACAAAAGGAAGACCATTGTTAGTGAGTTAGCACCTCGACACCATCAAAATTCTGTCTTCGGAAATTTCTCCGGTGCCCGCTTTTCCTTGGTGCCCGAAGCGCGTGCTTATTTTGCTTAATCCAGCACTGTTCATACATACTAACACTGCGTTTTGAACTTAGTTTGGTTAGGTTCGTGAATTTTGAGTACTCCCGTTGCATGTGAACCAAGATGGCGGACACCGGAATATAGTATGTGTACCAGGTTAGGGTTAGGTCATAATTATATTTCAATTTTCCTTATTTTAATTCCATTACGAGTTCGTGGACTAGCCAAGTGACTCCAGTGGTATTTGTATCCAAAATTATGGTCCAACCCTAGCCTGGTACACATACTACGTTCCGGTGTCCGCCATCTTGGTTCACATACTACGGAGGTAACGAATTTTATTGAAACCAAAGAAACTTAGAAAAAACGTTTATTCATTATGTCTCGTTCTAGTATAAACAAAGCAGCCTCCCAGACAAAACTACAGATTTATCGTCTTTCACCGATAAATTTTATAAATTAGCAACGCAAAAGTATTCCAATGGTATTCAAAACATTAACTCCTTAAAATCCATTGTAATGGAACCGTAAAACGACTGTAAAAATACAAGAAATTTACGACATATTCGCGAAAAACGCAAGTCGATAACACCCCGGGCAATGATTTGTTACGTGTTTAAGTAAGCCATTGTTTTGCAATAAATGTATTTGCTGCTGTTTTGCGGCAACGTGGACGCCCGTTGAGTTTTGGCTTTCGACGATTTGCCGAAGTCGTGAAATACGGAAAAAAATGAATGCGGTGAGTGCATTATAAATATCATGTAGTTTTATTTTAATATTTATACAATGCGCAGATTGAGTTTAGTAACTTTTAAGTTGAATTGCCAATGTCGTGGAACATTGCAGCACCGGTAGCCTAGCGTTGGAATCAGATTATTCTGATTGGTCACGCTTTAATAATTGGCAGTGACGTAGGAGTTGCGGTGGTAATGGAAAGCAGACTTAGCCATGGCGATCTGCGTTAGTGTCTATTGAATAAAGGCATCTCAATTGATTGAACTAAACCCGGTGTAATAACTGTTTGAGTGCTATTGGTGTTTAGGTAACTGATATAAAAATAGACCAAGTACCTTTGTCGCAAAGATGCCCGCGTCTTAGGGCAATATTTTCGGGCAATTAAATAACATTTTGAGTGCGGCCACAGCTGACCTTTTCTTTTTCCAATTATGCTCATTTTAGGTTTGAATAATTTGGGTCATTGCTCCACCTAACTTAGCCACACCTATGATATGCAGAATTAAATAAATCATATTGGAAAATTGGGGGCGCGGCAAAAATGCAGTACCACGGATCTCATCCGCCCGTATTTTATGTTTTAAATTACAATAAACATACAAAATCCGCCACGTGTCACTCGCAGTTGACAGGCGACTGCCGTTACCATGGGTTCACTGACCCATTTCCGCGTGATTACCGTACCGGCACTGTACCCGATGGGGACAGGTCCTCTGTTTGCACACGTCATTTATTGGCCAATTTAAACATCAATAAATTCCGGTACCAGCGCGGGACAAAGGTGCCATAAAGCAGTGATGAAAACGGTTTGTTAAACACACATTGAGACCGATAAGTACCATGCATGTTGTATTTATAGTCCTCGCGCTGTGCATGTAACTAAACAGTGTTCCCTTTGTGTATAAAGCTAATTGCATGAACGAAAAATAAAAATTCCTATTGAAAAAGGCAGTTAAAGCGTAAGAATGTTATTTTGTTTAATCTGCAAATTTCGAATCGTATTATTTCACTTTGAAACAAGATTCTTTGATATTTTTTCTCTAAAAATGCATATAGGAACACTAAATACATTGCTCAAAGTTAATATGTAATCTTTGTTATTCTGCAGAAACACCGAAAGATATCTGCGTAGGGCATAAGTGCAGTGGATACAAATGCGTAGCGGTACAAGGCAAACCTACTTGCGCCTGTCCAGCAAACTGCAAAGCGAAGCCTGACTGCTCTGTTTGTACGCCGGTAAGTCTGAATTTAGTTAGTATCACACGCAAAAAATTTACGTTGGAAGATTTTTTAGAAAAAAAAATTGTATATAGCAAAGTCATGTGCACTTACTTAGAAGTAAGGGTGACAGTATGTTCCCCCAGCTTTTTGTTTTCAACTGGTCAACTTCACTCGCATCTAAGCCACTTCAGTGTCGGTATCTACTGATACTGATATTACAGCGGCAAATTGAGCGATATTAGAATGTTTGCGAAATGGGAATGAAATGATTTGAAAGTTTGTCGTCAAGAATATGGGAAATATCGTTAGATATTTGGGGACAGGAACTCATTTGGAGTTTCAATATAAAAAATAAGAAATAAAATCATGTCAGATAATGATAAGAGAATTTAATTTATTCTGTTAGCTAAAATATTATGTATATAAGAGAACATGTGAGAACACTCTCTCTAAAATTTCAAATACCCCCCCCCCCCTCCCTAACTTTGAGGTGATGCACCGTATCTAAATTTCTAACTTAACATAAATTTGTTTGAATATACAGAAAGTATTGTATGTACCAGTGATAGTCAGCCAAATAATACATAACACGTATATTTATAAGTTACAAATATTTCTATCGCTAATAGCAAAATAACAACCACCCCTTCATATGGAAACACCCCCCTAAAATGAAAAGCGGCAGCATGAGGAGTCCCAGTTATTTTATTGGACACGTAGTGGACATGACGATCGTTTTGTTGTTATGTTGTTCTTGTTCTTTGACACGTTTTGAATAAATCGCTTTTCTCTTTGATTACTTGACCAATCGTTTTGAAATTTTCAGCGAGTAGAGATTATATTTTTTGCTAGAAGGCTATTTCTTTTATTTTTTGCTATCACGTCATTATGTGAATCTACGTGTCCATATATTTGAGCATAGCTCTCTTGTTTACTTGACGTTCGTTTGGAAACGAAATCATACTAGCTAGTCGGCTGAATTTGTCACTTGAGAGTTGGCTTACTTGGTCTTTAGTTGTACATGAAAATCATAGGTTTCATTCATGGATCTCCAACGTATACGCATATTTGCGCTACTGTAAAAGGAAACTTTTTGGTACTCCCGAAGTATGTGAACCAAGATGGCAGACACCGGAACGTAGTATGTGTACCAGGTTAGGGTTAGGCCATTTTATTCCAAGTTTCCTTATTTTATTTCTATTACGAGTTCGATGACTAGTCAAGTAACTCCCGTAGTATCTGTACCTTAAATTATTGCCTAACCCTACCCTGGTACACATACTACGTTCCGATGTCCGCCATCTTGGCGGGAGTACCAACTTTTTAATATAAAAACGGGTTCTTATCATATAATAAGTGGTTTTTATGACGTTGGGTTCAACAAGCATTTGCATGTTCGTTTATTTCTCGGATGTACTGTTGAGAAAATCGTTAAATTCGAGTTTGTAATTACAGTAAAATTAAATTTCACCTCAGAATATAAGGTCGGATAACGTTATTTCAATTGCTATAAGCCAGTGGTTCCCGACCTTTCATGGCTCGTGGCCCCCATGCAGGAGGCTTTTGCCCCTGTTCATCATCCCAGTGGTATTTAAAGTGTTATTTTGATTGGTTGATTCCGAATCCCATTATGTTCAAACAATTCATGCTCAACAAATTGAAAACACCTTGTGAAATGACCTTATCAAGCAATGAAACTAGGAAGAACGGAGTTTTCTTATAAAGTAAAATCAATTTGCGCCTAGCATTGTGACTCATCCAACTGCCCGTGGTTAGGAACCGTTGCTATAAGCTATAATTTTGTCCAACTTAAAGATATTCTAGACCTCAGTCCATGCCGGACCAGTGTTTTATGAAATGGTAAATCGTTTGCCATATAACCATGGAGTATAATATTACCTAATATAGTTGGGTAATTTTGCTATTTTTTTATTTTATGTCAGTGCTAATGGTGATTCACAATATGCGGTTAGGTATGTTTATGATACAATAAACAATGGTTTTCGTTCAATCTATTAGATAAGCAATTCACTCACATTCATTTTCGGCCTCGCCCATTTTTGTTAAGCTTAATTTATTTTCGAAAAATTCTTCTTTGCGGAATTCAATTCGTCAATCTGCTTTCCTGGCAATAACGTTGAGTTTTTTCAAGTCAAATTATTTCAGGTGATGACTGCTTTGAGCGAACTATGCAATTTATTGTTGGTACCATTTGTTCAATTAGTTATTAAATATAAGACTGATCTTGACGAAAATAATTTGAATGTTCGAATATGCTCGACAAAAAATAACGTTGAAATTATAGTTATCGTTGCTTAATTGTGTCTTTGAGAATTACACTCGTTTAGGCGAACTTTTGTTGACTGTGACTCGATTCAGTAATTTAGCCTCAGATATTCGAGAAATTTTTTTTTAGAATGTGTTTGGAAAAGTGAATTATACGGCTTGATCATGTTGCCATTACCATCCATGTTGCTATATCGAGTTTTATGATTGTTTTCCCGCATTATCAAATTTTGTCAAAAAATGGCACTGCTTTGTGCAATTATCTGTTGGGCCCGACTCTTTAGGATATATTCGCATTAAGAAGTTCGAATTTTTTTTCCAGAATGTCTTTAAAATGGTTAATTATACGTGTTTGGCAATTCCTGGTATTTTTATTTTACAATATATTCCATATTCAGCATTTTTAGAATGTATTTATAATGTTAGATTATACGACGCGTCGTCCATGTTATGTCTATTGAGCTCCAGTGGTAATATAACACTGTAAAATTTATTAAGTGACACTATACAGCCGCAGTATAACCAAATTAGGACGTCACATATTGAAGTTTTGATAAAAATCTCATTTTTGTGAAAGTTTGATTCTAACAGTCAAAATTGAAAATGGTCACAAGGCACAACCCAAAATCAAAACTGAAAACAGGTACAGCTATGGAGCCCAGACCAAAAGATGGCCCAGGTTCACAATAACATAGAATCAAAGAAGTCGGTTTCGGAAAAACACAATTTGAGACAATTTGATTTTAGTGCGGCGATGCAAGCTGTCTAGAAAAGGGCGTTATTAAAGAAAACTTAGAGATTTTTCAATCAATCGATAATTTTCTTCCAAAATTATATCATAAGTTGTTGCATCACAATGATTAAAAGTATTTCTGGAAAGCATCCGGTCACGTGACCTGAATAACTTCGTCTGAAAATTCAAATTGATTGATGACAGTTTTCCCGCCTAATGATCGATGATATTGTGACGTTACAGAAGCATGATCTTTATTCATTTATTAGAAATCTTTCAACAGAAACGCCTAACAAGATAATTACCGTCCAATGGAGTAATGTACCAATTTCCAGACCACAATTTCTTAAAATTTGGAAATCTGAAATTATCAAAATGGAAGTTATAACGAAGACTTTCTGCGAACGGGCAATCAGCTCGAGATAAAGCATTCTGATTATTGGACACGAAGTATGTTAAAAATTCTCGTTAAAAAAAATCGCTTTTCTCATTAGACTGTTATTACTTTTATTTATTCCAAACTTTGTCGGCTCCATGTTATTCGTTTTTCGTTTCCAAATTTTGTGTGATGATGTATTCAAAATTAATAAAAATTATTTGTAGCGGTTCTTCGACCTCCATTGTGCTACTCCCGTGCTACGCGAAAATCGGAATTTTTTTCACCGTACCGTACAGCAAGGCGTATATATAACACACAATAGATCAGGCAGTGCTCTGTTAAAGGTAGGTAGACTACAGCTTCGCTTTGGCCTTCGTTTCCATATATTGGAGCATCGCTCTCTTGTTTGTATGAGGCATTCTACTCCTTCGTTCTAAATAAGGCATTAGACAAGCATATGCTGATACATAAAGAACTTTTGGTGCTCCCGAAGTATGCGAACCAAGATGGCGGACATCGGAACGTAACATGGGTAACAGGTTAGGGTTAGGCGATAATTTTTTTCCAATTTTCCTTATTTTAGTCCTATTATCAGTTCGAAGACTAGCCAAGAGCCTCCCGTAGTATTTATACCTAAAATTATGGCCTAACCCTAACCTAGTACACATATTACATTCCGATGTCCGCCATCTTGGTTCGCATACTTAGGGAGCCCCGAACTTTTTGTAAGAACCAGAATCTTATTAGGCATGTAGTGTGACAGGTTATAGTAAAGTCTTTAAATTTGACAGAGTCGTTAAATTAAGTAATTTTAATATAACCAGGGACATTAATCAGTAAGTCACAAAGTGTCTTTTTTATTTTTCATTCTTATACATTTCTTATAGCTCTCCGTAAATAATAGTCAACCTTTTCAGCGGATAATAACATCAGAACCCCTTAATTTCATTGGACACTGTTCCCAGTTTGGTGAAAGGTAAATTGCCACAAAAACCTGCTTGAAAGTGTAGTGAGAAGTGAATGTTTTTATAGGAAAACATCATTTATAAAATTGTTTGCAAGTTGAAAACTAGATCAAAATATTCCGCAAATATTATGACAAATAAAGGGTGTCCAGAGCTTTGCTCGGAACACGCTTTTAAGGGCGTTTCGTTTGAAGATTATTCATTATTTATCTATGGTTGTCATGAATTGTAAAAGATTCTCGTCCTTTCTTAAATACAGAGCTACTTTCCTATCAGTGATTTTCGAAAAAATAATCTCAGTGCGTGTCGTAAACCGCGTAGCAGACAAAAAAATTAACAATATAGTGACGTAATTGTACGAGCTTCATATTTCACGTATTGCGTAATTTAACTTATTGTATAATCGTAAAACTTGAAACGATTCGTTAAGTTGTTTTGTAATAACATTTAAGGCTCTCAACGGACTCGGACGCAAAATATCTGACAATTAAATTGGCTCAATCTTGATTCTATGCACGCGGAAAAAAATGGTTTAACGAAATTAAACTAATTTTGTTTGAAAATATTTTTTTCTATGATTTGTCATTTCAGGCCTTTGTTAGATCCAAGTGCCATTTATGTCTTGTTCGGATAAAAAGTGGAAATCGCACAG